GCTGGCGGGCGCTCCTCCGGGCGCCGCTGCGGGCGCTCCCCTGCGCCTTCCTCCGGGAGCCGAGAGTCTCCGAGCGCAACTTTCTGTCCCCCTCGCTCCTCGCTGTTCGGGGGTCGCGGCGAGTGTTTTTTAGTGCGCGGGTCGCAGCTTTCTCATTGTGCGCCAGCGAGGCCGATCCAGGCTGTCCTTTTCCTCCCCGCACTTAGTCTAAGAGGAAGAAAGCAAACAAGACAGAGGAGTGAAGCCCCCGTACATACATGCGCCGGGGGGGAGATGTCAGGCGCTGCTCCACCTTCCAAACAGTCACAGATCAAACAGTGTCACCCCGCCGGAGCGCCACTTGGTGCCCCGCGCTCCCCGCGGGGCTGTGCCGCCGGGATCGCCGCTTCTTCCAATGCGAATTCTAACGCAAACACATTTTGATCATGGATTTTTGGCCGGTCTTGATCTTCCAACAGAAAAATTTTGAAAAATACACAAAAAGCACCCCCCCTCCAAAAAAAAAAGGACCAACAACAACAACCCGGAGAGTGTGTGCGGAGGGGTGAAGAGCAGACATTCACTGGGTGGGCGAGATGAGCGTGGACTGTCCCCCCCAAACTCCTGGGAGAGAGGGAGATGCACTCTCGCTCTCTCCTCTTTTCAGTGAAATATAACACACATTCGGATCGCAGAGCTTTCAGACAGTCTCAACTGATAGACAGACACATCGAGCTGCTTTTCCGGCTTCAGTTTTTACTCCTCCTCCTCTCGCCAACGTCACCCTGACAATTACAAATAGGTCTCTCACAAACCATACCTGTCAATCTTTTTAATTGCTTTGTTTTCTTTTTTTCCCCCAGCTAAACAATATGACACAAAAAAAGAAATCTTAATACAGCATAACATAAAAGATTGCACACTGGAGAAAGACATTGAGGGGTTTGTTATTGTAATCCACCGGCTGATACTGGGTAAAATCCATGTGTTATGAGCCAAGTTAAGTAGACACTAGTTCCTGCAGATTTTTAAACCTGTGGGTACCCCCCCGCCCCCGCTTGTACATTCATAAACATGCACCCACGTGGACACAAACTACCCTTGGATGAGGAATGTCCCACATTTGAAATAAAAATACCTGTGTCACTCTTGCAATCTTAGTTTGGGGGTTAGATTTGATTGGGGAGGGGCACTGTGCGGCTTTTATATTTTGGTAATTGATGGGTAAGTGGAAAACAGGAAAAGATATTATTATAATGTATACCTTTAATAGAAATTTAATGATGGACTTTGCTCATTACACAAAAAATGTGGAAAATATTTAATCTGGTCCCTCTATGAACAGTGAATTGATTATTTGGTCAATACAAACAATTAGTGAGAAAACTGACAGGATGGAAAGTGCAGATCTTTCTAGCTGGGTTATAAAAAGAAGTCTTCATACATTATGGCAACGTCTCCAATTCAATTAGGTCCCTTGTCATCCCCACCTGGAAGTTTAAAATGTTGATGTGCTCTGGGAATTTGGCCCTCTGGTCTCCAATATATGTGTTCTTCCTCATTGGGAAACCTGTTAACTGTCTTGTGGAGGTTACTTAAAACATTCACGGAGAAACACAAGATCTTGGCCAAAATAAATAAAATGGCTTAGTTCGTGCAACTTGCGTGGGACAGACTAAGGGCAGAAGGCGCTGG